TTGGCCTATAATTTTCTTTGTGGTGTGTTTATCTGGTTTTGGAGTTGGAATAATGTGGCCTCGCAAAAAACAAAAAAAAACCTGAAAGTCTTCCTTCCTCTTGAATTGTTTGGAATCCGTGAGGATGACAGGTGTTAGCTGTTCTCTGGATGTTTGGTAAAATTCACCTGCGACACCATCTGGTCCAGGACTGTCATTTGCTGGCAGTTTTTTGGTTACTGCTACCATTTCATTAGTTGTTATCCATTTATTCAGGTTTTCTGATTCATCTTGATTGAATTTGGGAACTGTATTTCTAGGAATGTGTCCATTTTACTCAGGTTGTTCAATTTGTTTACATATAGATGTTCATAGTAATTGTTTACAATCCTTTGTATTTCTATGATGTCAGTTGTTACTTCACCTCTTTCTATTCTCATTTTATTTGAGTCCTCTTTCTTTGTTTCTTGATGAGTCTAGCTAGAGATTTATCCATGTTATTTATGTTTTTAAAGAACCAGCTCTTGGTTTTATTAATTTTTGTTTTGTGGTTTTATTCTCTATGTTATTTATTTAAACTTTGACCTTTATTAATTTTCTTCCTTCCACTTACTCTGGGCTGTTCTTGTTTTTCTTGAGCTTTGGTTTTTGTTTGCTTTAGTTCGTTTAGGTGTAGTTTTAGATTGTTTATTTGAGATTTTTTTGTTTCTTGAGTTAGGCCTTTGATGATACGAACTTCTCTCTCAAGAATCCTTTCACTCTGTCCCATAGATTTGGGGCTGTTGTGTGTCCATTTTCATTTGCTTTTAGGTAATTTTTTATTTCTTCCTTGATGTCATTTGTATCACATTCATTGTTTAATAACATACTATTGAGCCTCTAAGTGTTTTAATGTTTTCAGGGTTTTTTATTGTAGTTGATTTCTGGTTTCATGCCATTGTGATCCAAGAAGATGCTTGATATGATTTCAGTCTTCTTGAAATTGTTATGACTTACTTTGTGTCCTAACATGTGGTCTGTCTTTGAGAATGTTTCTTGTGTCCTTGAAATGAATGTATATTCTGCAGTTTTTGTATGAAATGTTCTCTAAATATCAATGAAACTCATCTGATGTAGTGTGTCATTTAAGGTTGCTATTTCTTTGTTGAATTTATTTATTTATTTTTTTGGTCTGAAAAATCTATCCAGTGATGTCAGTGGGGTGTTAAAGTCCTCTACTGTGACTGTATTGCTGTCAATCTCTCCCTTAAAGTTCACCAAAAGTTTTTTGTGTTTTTTTTTAATAATATATTTAGGTGCTCCTATATTGAGTACATATTTTTTTACCAGTGTTATATCCTCTTGTGTGACCTTCTCTTGTTATGGCCTTTGATCTGAAGTTTATTTTGTAAGATGTAAGTATTGCTACCCTTGCCCATTTTTTTTTATATCCATTTGTATAGAAGGATTTTTTTTCATCTCTTCACTTTCATACTGTGTGAGTCTTTAGTTCTGAGGTGGGGCTCTTGTAGAAAACATTTATGTAGGTCATGTTTTCTTATCCATTTATCTACTTTATGTCTTTTGATTGGAGTATTTAATGCATTTACATTTAAGGTCAGTATTGATAGGTACTTCTATATTGTCAATTTTATTCTTTATGCCTATGTTCCCCTCTCTCTATATATATATATCTTCTTCTTTTTTTTAACCCTCTTCTGAGGACATTTTTTGTTCAGATAGAATGGAAGGGAAAGAGAGGAAGAGTGAGAGAGAGAGAGAGAGAGAGAGAGAGACACATCGACGTGAAAGGGACACATCAAGTGGCTGCCTCCCGCACGACCCAACCAGGGCTGGGGACAAACTGCAGCTGAGACACATGGCCTTAGTGGGAACCAAACCTGGGTCTCTCTGGACCACAGGCCAGTGCTCTAACCATTGAGCCAAACTGGCCAGGGCTCCTCCTCCTCTTCTTCCTCTTCTTCCTCCTCCTCCTCCTCCTCCTCTTCTTCTCCTCCTTCTCCCTCCTTCTCCGTGTAGTAGTCACTTTAACATTTCTTGTGATATTGATTTGTTGATAATGAACTTCTTTCACCTGTTTTTTAATCTGGAAACTCTTCATTTTACATTTAATTTTAAATGATAGCCTTGCTGGATAGAGTAGTTTTGGTTTCACATCCTTGCTTTTCATTACTTTGAATACTTCATGCCATTTCCTTCTGACCTGGAGTGTTTCTGTTGAGAAATCAACTGACACCCGTATGAGAACTAAACTGTAGGACAGACTGTCTCTCTCACTGCCATTAAAATTCTCCCTTTGTCTTTAACCTTTGCCATTTTGATTATGATATGTCTTGTCGTGGACTCTGGGTCCATCTCGATAGGGATTCTCTGTGCTTTCTGAACTTGTGTGACTGTTTTCTTCATCAAGTTAGGGAATTTTTCTGTCATTATTTCTTCAAACAAGGTCTCTATTTCTTGCTTGCTTTCTTCTGATTCCCCTATGATGCGAATGTTGTTCCTTTTTGTGTTGTCCAAAAATCTTCTTAAAGAATACTCATGCTTTTTAATTCTTTTTCTTTTTGTTGCTGTAATTGAATGATTTTTTTCCACCTTTTCTTCTAATTTTCTGATTCTGTCCTCTCCTTCATCTAACCTACTATTTTTTGCTTCCATTGTCTTCATTTCCAAGTGGTTGTTTTTTATAGTTTCTATATTATTTTTTATGCTGTTGAGCATTCTTAAAACCATTACTTTGAACTCTGTTATGGATAAACTGCTTGCCTCTATTTCATTTAGTTATTTTGATCCCCCTGCTCTTCCATTTGGGACCTGTTTGTTTCCCCATTTTGGTTCTCAGTGTTTGTTTTTATGTATGAGGAATAACTGCTACAACTCCCAGTCTTGGTGGGGCCGCCTACTGTAACGTGTTCTGTGTGGTCCAGTGGTGTAGTTTACTTGGTCACCTGATATGGATTCTCTAGGAATGTTCCCTGTGTGGGTTGTGAGTGTCTTCTGTTGTAATTGGGTCTTGATTGCTGTTGTCCCATTCGTGGGTGGACTTAGCCTTGAGGCTTGGTGACTGTGCAGCTCAGCCCGACCACATCATACAGATTGTGATGCTGGTGTTGACAGAAGAAAACAAGACAGGAGGCCAAGCCAAAAACAACAACAGAGCACAAGAAAAGAAAAGATAGTAACAAGACGCTTAAGCATTAGAGTATAAAGAAAGGAACAAAAACAGCATGTGAGAGGAAAGAAAAAATAAAATAATTTTAATAAATAATAAAAATAAAACATAGACTAGGAAAGGGGAAAACAGTAAAAAAGAATAAAAATGAAAAGAGTATAAAACGCAATTAGAAAAGTAGAGAGAAAAAGAGATGTGAACAAATGAAGAGAAGAAGAAAACAAAATAAAATAAAAAAGGGGGAAAAAAAATAAAGAGGAGTTTGTCTCAGTACCCACAGTGGATCTCCTGCTGGTAGAGGCCCGGTCCTTCTCAGAGGGTGTCTGAAATTGACTACCAGGTGTGCTGGTCCCAGGTCTCCCACGTGGCTTCCTGGTGCAAACCAGTGTCGTTGGCTGTCCCTGCCTGGCCCTCGGCAGCCTGTCCAGAGTTCGACAGAGCAGAGCCCTAGTGGGCTCGTGGGAGGGGCCTCCGTAGCCGGAGGCGGGGTTTGCCTAAGGCCGGCCGCCTTGAATGCCCTGCTCTGTGCTGCTCTCCCCGTCCTCACAGGTCTGTGCTCGGCAGGGCTCTGAGCCCTGGCTGGGGAGATCGAAACAGACTCCCATCGGGGATGGCACCATGACTGTGGGGCTGCTGCACGTCCTCTCCTTCCCGGGGCTGCACAACTGAGCTGTGGGCTCTGAGCTGCTGCCCTGTGAAGCAGCCGCAGGCCCAGCACATGCCGCCTGTCTCCTGCGCAGAAGCCCACCTGGGAGGCGCAGGCACGTGACTCAGCTCTTCTGGTTCCCCGCAGCCCCTGACGCCACACTGAGTCGGAGGGGAAGGAAGAATGTAGTGGCCCAGCCGGATGGCTCAGTTGGCTGAGCAGTGTCCCGCACACCAGCAGGGTTGCAGGTTCTATTCAGTTCGGGGCACATACCTAAGTTGCACATTTGAGCCCCTGTCAGGGTGCATACAGGAAGCAACCGATCATTGTTTCTCTCTCCTTTTGTTCCCCCCACTCAGTAAAGTCAATGAAAAGTGTTCTCAGGTGAGGATTTTTTAAAAATCCGTTCCCCTCGGAACTTTAATCTGTCTGTGGCTGTTCCCAGCTGGGTGGGGCCTCCATCCAGGCTTCCATTAGGCCGAATGTTCAACTTCGTCACATCGTCAAACCAAGCAGTACAGGCGTAAATTTCCAGCCCAGCAAGAGATTCATGGGCTCATGATCTCCAAGAGAGATTGCGGCAGGGGTGTCTGGGCCCTGCACAGTGAACAGCATGATTTCATTTTCTGTGACCTGACCTAGGGTTCATGGTAAGAAGCAAGCTCTGATCCCAAGGGTGTCCTTCCTGCAGCAGTAAGGGAGTCATTTTTGTGAAGGTGTCAGATTCTAAGAAAATAAGATTGTACTCTCAATTTTTTTGTTTTACACTTTACTTTTAAATTTTATTTTAATTAAAATTTTGGGTGACATTGATTAATAAAATTCTATGAATTTTGAAGTATACATTTCTACGATACATCACCTGTATATTGCATTGTGTGCCCACCACCCAAAGTCTCTAAGTGTTTTCTAAGTTTCATAATTTCCCAAGTGAACCTTGCACTCTCATGTAGACGTGGTGTGGACGGAAAGGGAGTAAGTGTAGGCGGCACAGGGAAGAACACAGAATAATTAGAAGAGGGTTGGATGTGTCCAGGGCAGATATTTCACTAGAGAAACATTGATATTCCACATGATGACAGCCCTTTGTTTCTTGTCTCTGAGAATGCTGATTGCACTATCGAAGGATGGGGCTCTCACTCATTCAGTCTGGTCTTTGGTCAGCTCAGCGTCCCACTCTCTCGTGTTCTTCGCTTCTCCGCACAGTTCAGTGGCCTCGGGGAGGAGAAGTTGAAGCAAGCTGCTGCGACCTTTTGCAGTAACCAACCTTTTGCCCTGGAAATGATCAAATCTCGTCAGAAAAAGGATTCTCGATTCCAGACTTTTGTGCAGGTGAGTGGAGTGTGTCCTGTGAGAGAAGAACAGTGATTTCTTATCAATTGTAGAATGAACTGGGAGACCTTTGACCGAGTCTTTTATAAGGATTATATCTATGTGAATATTTTTTAAAGCTATAAACGTTCTCTTAAAGCACTGGATGGTGTCACAGATGGTCTCGTCATGGTGAAATGAAGTTGCACGTCACGATTAGAGTACTTGACGTAGAAGTCCACGTTGCCGTGGAGATGTGTCCAGATGGGCACTGTGCACACTGTGAACATGTCATCAGAACATGAGAAGGGGTTTGTGTCAAGCCCAGGGAAGAATATAACAGCAGTCATACTTACTGAGGTGTATATTGGTATAGATCAAGGGTCAGTGGCTTAAAGCCCACAAGCCATATCTAGCCTCTTGTCCTTTTTCATAAATAAAGTTTTGTGGGAAAACAATGTAGTAGTTTTTATTGCCGTATATTAAATTACCACAAGCAGAGCAACTTCAGACGATGCACATCTATTGCATCGTGGCGGCTTTGCGTGAGGAGTGCAGTTTGCTGGGTCCTCTGCTTTCACCAGGCTGAATCCAGGTGGCGCCTGGAGCCGTAGTTCTCATGTAGGACTTGGGGTCCTTTCCTAAGCTCACTTGTTGGCAGAATTCATGTCATTGTAAATATATGACCAAGAGCCTTGTTCCTTGCTCTCGTCAGCTACAAACAGCTCGTGGCCCCTAGAAAATGCCCATGATCGTTTGCCTTGCGGCCCTGTAGGCCGATTACGAGATGGATTTTGCTCTCTTCCAAGACTTTCCTTTAAAGCGAGACCCTCTGGTGGAGTCAGACTCACCTGAGAGTCGGCTAATAGTATCAAAAGTCAGCTGATACTAACGCCATGACAGTGATACCCCATCATATGGCAGGTTCTGTCCACATGCAGGGAGGGGAGGGGATCCCATAGGTTGTGTACACCAGAGAGGGAATTTGGGGGCCAGCAGAACTCTCTAATACACATAGCCATGTTCATTAACTTACGTATTGTCTGTGGCTGCTTTTGTTCTAAAACAGCAGAGTTGAAAGTTGTGACAGAGACTGCATAGCCTGTGAAGCCTGAAATATTTACCATCTGGCACTTGACTGAGAAGGTTGCAGACCCTGTTGTAGATGAGCTGGTGTATCCAGACTGGTGACCCCCTGTGCCTACTTGGAATGGCAGCCAGAATATAACTAACTTGATTTTACAACCCAGTCTCCAGGGCATTTGATTGAATGTCTTCATTGGTGGGTTATAGATTTACAATATATTTTCTGAATATATGAAGATAAAGCTGTTTTATCCCAAGAAAGTGATTCTTAGAGTATGTTATGGATGCTCTAAGTTGTTGCTGAAACAGGTAATAAGGAAACAGCCACTCGTTCAGTGATGAGAAGAGAAAGCAGACGCACAGGGGCAGGGGAAGCCCTGCCTGCCGCACGTCGTCACGACGTAGCAGGACTGTGATGCTGTTGACACCTGCATGATGAGCATGTGGTGCATGTCAGGTGCAGTTGTGATAACAGTTATAGATTCACTTATTTCACTTTAATTTCAGGATGCTGAGAGTAATCCACTATGTCGTCGTCTGCAGCTGAAGGATATCATTCCTACTGAAATGCAGAGGCTAACTAAGTATCCTCTTCTCTTAGATAACATTGCCAAATACACAGGTATAGCATCTTCACTGAAATTTAAAAGCTTACGAACAGAAAAATGAAATTTTCTCATAGCATTCTGACATAGGTTTTGGAATAGTAGAACAAAAATGTTTAATATGATTCAACCCAGTCTTCAGGGTATTTGACCGAATGTCTCCATTGGTAGGCCGGCTGCAGACCACGGGCCGCACCAGCCGTCGCCTGCCGGCCACGCTCACCAGCGCGAGGTTGTGCTCGTTCGCTGGCATTGCCCCTGCTGTGGCCTGTGGCAGCGGAGCTGGAGGCTGCGACACGGCCGTTTGCCTTTAGAAGTTTGCTTGTCCTTCCCCTGGCATAGGGCGTGTTTCCCTTTGAAGGAGGCTTGCACTGGACTGAGGAGATACTTTGTATTTATAGATGTACTTTGATTCAGCACAGCTGATCGATGCATTATAATTGCAACTCTCCTGTTTGTTTTTTTTACTTAAAAAATTCTTTTTGTTGATTTTAGAGAGAGAGGAGGGGAGAGGGAGAGAGAGAAACATCGATGAGAGAGAACATTGATCGGCCACCTCTGGCAGGCCCCCCACCAGGGATCAGGCCCACAACCTGGGCATGTGCCCTGATCTGGGGGCATCGAACTGGCGGCCTCTTGGTGCTTGATCGATGCCCATCCCCTGAGCCACACCGGCTGGGCCCTGTCTCCTGCTTTAAAACACGTGCATGTAAATGTCCCAGCTGACCTTCGGGGTCTGACACTGGTTCTCATGAGTAAGTCTGCAGCCAGACTCCCGTTTCTTGTGCCTGAGAATTTGAACCACACCCACTGATTTCTATACTCTAATCTATCTTTTCTTTATGGTTGGACTGTGTTTGGAGGATTGTAATTTTGAGTATTCTGATTTTGCTATTTTCATTGTAAACCTCAGTGTGACCTTACCACACTGTAGCGAATTTCATCCTTTTTTAAGGAAACAATCGTCCTCACCTGTTTCCTTTCTTCAAATATGATCTCAAATTCAAAGAAACTTACTTTGGAGTCATGTTCAGTTGTATCATCATTTAAAATACACGTAGCAGGTGCACTGGAGACAGTCGTGTAGGCTGTGCCTGTGAGACTCCAGGGGGATCCTGTTCACATGGTGGGGGTGAGGCCCCTGCGGTGTGTGCATAGGGCCGGTGCCTGGCGTAGACAGAGGGGGGCCCGTTCACATGGTGGGGGTGAGGCCCCTGCGGTGTGTGCATAGGGCCGGTGCCTGGCGTAGACAGAGCACCTCTCCTCGGGTTTGGGTTTCCATACTGTGATCTCTTTGTAAAGAGTAGTATTCATGTTCCGAAGTACGGTCATGAGAGGGTTCACGTGTCCAAAGATGACCTGAATTGAGATTCTGACCTAGGTTCCGTCTGGTATAAAAATGTCCAAAGTCTCACTGTGGTCTTACAGTCGTTCAGACAGTTTCCTCCATCTGACCTCTCGGCTCTCGCCCGATGCAGAGTGGCCGACAGAGAGGGAGAAGGTGAAGAAGGCTGCAGACCACTGTCGTCAGATCTTGAACCATGTGAACCAGGCTGTCAAGGAGGCGGAGGACAAGCAGGTAAGAGGGCAGCAGGAGGACGCAGGGCGGCCGTGAGTGTGAAGTCATTGTCTCATCTGTGAAGCCGTCGCTGAAGGTGTCACCACACGATTGAAGGGTGACAATGTTAACTACTCATGTCGTAGGCGGGTCTACGTCAATTTGCGATTGAACATTAGAGTTTTCTTTGGCTTTTTGAGCATCTCTAGCTGCTCGTGTGCTCGCTCCTTCCTTTGCTCAGTGACTGTTCGTGGAGCGTGATCGCGTGGCCAGAGCAGGCGAGAGTGATCAGAGCGAGGGCGGCATCGCCACACTGAGCGTGATCCCTAACGGGGCGGGAGGTCATTGAGCCGATCGTGGTGCCAGTGTTTGTGTCACTTGTGACGGCTGCTGCGGAGGAGAACTTCAGGGAGCTCGGGGTGTAACTTGAGGAGCTGGACTAGTGTAGTTTGAGGATCTCAGGTGGTGGCCCTCAGAGGAAGCTTCCTGAGGGACTGACATTTACGCCGAGCTCCGGGGGATGAGTGAACTGAAACAAAAGAATGGGGGCAGGGCAGGCCTCACAGGTCAGAGGAACTGCACGTTCAGACTTTTCTGTGTATTTGGAAATTTTTACGATCTTTTATCGAATAGTTCTTCCTTTAGAAATTTTTCTACAGATGTATCTACACATATGTACAAAAGTATATCTTTAAGGCCATTTTATTTTACAGTATTGTCTGTTATTATAGGAGAAGATTTAAAGTAAACGTCAGTAAGGTGTAGTTAAACTATAGTTCATTCAGAGCTGAATACCATGTAGCCGTGAACAAGCGAGCCCTCTCGCTCCACGTGTGCGGATCGGAGCGCTGTCGGACACTGAGGGGCGCCGCGCACAGGAGCCCGTGCATGGGGAGGTACATGCTGCCATCCTTTTTGGTGAAGGATGTACACACGTACAGAGACAAACATACACATACATTCTATTTACTTAGACTTCTTTTTCTCAGAGGTTACCTAAGAAATGGGTGTTTCTTTCTAGAAAATTGGGGTTGGGGGAGGCAGACTTACTTTTCATTGTGTGCCTTGCATCACCTTCTGAATTTTGTACCATGTGCATGGTTTACATATTCAGAAAATGAGTACAAGCTAGACGAGGCCCGGGAGCTTGAAGACATTGAGAAAGGACAGCCCGAGGGGACAGAAGCAGGAGGGTTTTCAAGCCAAGGGACAAGTGGGAAAGAATGGTCATGTTGTCTAGCGGTGCAGACAGCTCAGTAAAACGTAAGTTATTGATTTAGGAATGAAGGTCATTGACACCCAAAGCAGTAACCTTGCTCTGTCCTGTCTCATTTTCAGCGTTTAGAAGATTATCAGCGTCGCCTGGATACCTCCAACCTGAAGTTGTCCGAGTACCCAAATGTGGAAGAGCTCAGGGTGAGAGATGGTTCAATAATAACTTAGAAAATAAAATTTACTGCCCTGGCTGGTTTGGCTGAGCGGTTAGAGCATCGGATCATGGACCGAAGGGTCCATGGGTTCGATTCCTGGTCAAGGGCACATGCCTGGGTTGCAGGTTTGAATCCCGGCCCTGGTTAGGACCTTGCGGGAGGCAGCCGATCGATGTGTCGCTGTCAGTTGGATGTTTTTCTGTCTCTCTCTCCTTCTTTTTCTCCCTCCCTCCCTTCCACTTTCTCTAAAAATTAATGTAAAAATATCCTCAGGTTAGGATTATCAACAACAACAAAAAGAGAGAAAGGGAAAACATTTTTCTGAAGACCTGGCAGTAAATTAACATCTCAGTGGGAAGATAACTTGAAGGAGTTCTTGTGTCACAAGTCTGTTCTTTCTTTGAAATGTTTCGTCTGTTGAAGATTACTTTAGTCTTTCACCAAAGGAGTATTTTATGAGACTAACTTTTCTTTTTAATTTGCTAGAGACTAAAGGACATTACTTATTAAGTTTCATGTTATTGTATTGTATAGTTTGAGTAAGAGGAGGGCTGTTTACTGTGGGAACTTTCCAGACTGTTGAGTAAAGCAAAATAATTATTTTTTCATGAAGCTCTTCAGAAACTTAAAACCATTATGAGGGTGATGGTAAAATATTTATTAATTGTCACTTCTAGTACATGAGGCTTTTCTGTTAATAACTACTTAGGGTTTTAAATCTTTCTTACACTGTTTCACGAGGTGGTGGTTTGGGCGGATTTATTTGGTGGCTGTTAAAATATACTTCTGTGTCATATAAAACAACTTATCAAAAAGCTAATGTCCTTGGCCCTGACCAGAGAACAAGGTTCTTCTCGAGCTACTTGTGCTACAAGATGATTCTCTTCCTAAGTTATTGGTATTTAGAGCCTGAGTCCTGCCTGGACTTTTCCTAAGTGCTACTCCTAGAAGTGTCTTTGGAACTGGAGGCCTCTGACAAACGAGCGAGGCGTTATCCTCACCTAGTTGTTCACAGGACAAATCAGAGGCGGGTTGAGAATCTGATGGCTGAAGGTTCACACCTTGGTCTGTGTGAGCTACTGTTATGTGTTTAGAGTGAGATTTAAAAGATAGTGCTCCTGAGTGTTTTTTAAGATAACTTTTGTTTTAGAAAGTTTTATGCAGTTTAAGTTGCTCTTTATTTCATTTTCAGTAGTTGACAGATAATAATACTGAATGTAAATGGTATTTTTATATGAAGACTTTCTTTAAAAGAGACTGAAATATCTCACTAAGTGCTTGGAATGGAAATAATTTGTGTATAATTTGTTTATTTTGACAGAATTTGGATTTAACAAAAAGAAAGATGATTCATGAGGGACCATTGGTTTGGAAGGTGAATAGAGATAAAACTATTGGTAGGTCTAATGTCTAATCAATTTTGGGAAGAGTGAAGAAAGGAAAGAATAGGAAGATTTCTTAGAAGAGAGAACCCTTCACAAGTTTCGTTACAGCAGTTAGCAATGCTACTTTGTATTATTCATGCATCTGCAGAAGATACTCTTATGTGATTTTGTTATATACGTGAAATGTGTTACATAATGATGAAGGGGTGGAGCAGACAACTTTGTCATGGCTCAGTGCTGTCTCCGGCATCCTTGTGTTTGAATGAGTCTGGGCTCTGCAGGTCACTGACCCAGGGCTGTCTGTGTCGAGCGACCGTGGCTCTTTACTTCTTGTCAGTCACAGACTAGGACTTCAGTGTAACAGTGCAATAGAAGCGAGTTATTCAAAGACACTAACCAGTCAGTGTTTTATAGAAAATTTCTCTGTTGAATTTTTATGAAGTATGTAAAACACATCTCGGTTTCTATACTAATCACCTTCTCCTGTGTTGTTCCTAGATCTCTATACGTTACTGCTGGAAGACATCCTTGTACTGCTGCAGAGGCAGGACGACAGGCTGGTGCTGCGGTGCCACAGTAAGATCTTGGCGTCCACAGCCGAGAGCAGGCACACGTTCAGCCCTGTCATCAAGCTGAATACAGTGTTGGTTCGACAAGTGGCAACAGGTGGGTATGTCTGCTTGCAAAGTGAATGAAGAGTGTATACTCCCAAATTAGGACACCTAGACTCTCTGAGTACATTTCTGCATTTGAAAATTTACTACATATTACTTTGATCATTTTTGTATGTTCAAATCATTGATAGACAAAAAGGCTCTCACTCCAGTGGTGTGTTTTTATTTGGTGGGAGAAAAGGGCAAAACCTAAAGACGTGGGTGTCGTTTAGTTTTGGAATCAGTTTAAGCAAATTATATACTAATGGCACTAACAATGAGATCCCTTTTAGAACTCGTTATTTCCGTGCTGGCAGGGTAAAGTATGACCTGTTCTCTAACACCCACTAACTGTTCAGCAAAAGGGCAATTCAGAACATGCAAAGAATCATAGTGTGTAGGTCAGTAGTTTAGATACGTTGACTTCTTGGTTCTAATAACTTACTGTAGAATCAGTACTAGTTTATATAATCTTCATAGTAGTATAATAAATACATTATAACATGCAATATATTGCACAAATTTTAAGTGTATAACTTGGTGAATTTTTACAAAGTAAATACATGTTCACAAAGTGAGTGAATATAACCTTTATCTAAATTAAGATGTAGAATAATACCAGGACCCTAGAAATAGCCTCTGTAGGTCATAGTATGAGAGTAACTTTTATCTTTTTTTTCCAGATAACAAAGCTTTTTTCGTCATCTCCATGTCGGACAATGGAGCCCAGATCTATGAGCTGGTGGCCCAGACGGTTTCTGAAAAGAATGTGTATGTATCGGATACAGCTGCGCTTCTCTGACTTCTTAGTTCAGTTTATCGAGGTGACATTGGTTAATAAAATTACACAGATTTCAAGTGTACATTTCTCTGGTACATCATCTGCTTATTGTATTGCATGTTTGCTGCCCCATTCCCCCTGGTGTTCTGATATTTTTATATTCCGAATATAATCTCCCACAAACAACATTGTTTCTGCAGTAGGACTGTGAAAACCACAGACAAAGCAATTCGTCTACATGCTTTTAGATTTGTTCTTCTGAGAACGTGTTACTGTTCAGACTGATGTCTCAGTTTGATTCTGTTCTACTGAAATCTCTCTTCCAAGGAGAAGACTCAGAAGGGCCACTTGAAGTTTTAGTGGGTAGTATGTTCATTATGTTGTGTTAGGTGTTTCCTTAAGGTATAAAGATTATAGTTTCTGCTTAATAGTTATTGTCAAAATAAATATGTTCTCTGGCAAAAGTAGAGATTTCGGTTTGTTGGTTTGGTGTTTTTGGTTCTGGTATGTTTGTTTCTATGTTTGCTTTTTCCATGTACTTAAAGGACTTTTTTTTCCCCTTTTGAATTTTGGATTCTCTTCAAAATCCCACAGCTGGCAGGACCTGATCTGCCGGATGGCCGCGGCAGTGAAGGAGCAGTCCACAAAGCCAATTGCCCTGCCGCAGTCGCCACCTTGCGAGTGAGTGTGCCTTGGCCGTGTGTGCAGACTGGTTTTTTTTATTAGAAAGGGGTGGTTTTTGCTGCGATGATGTTTAGGCACCTCGTGACGTTTAGAAATTGCTTGCTTTCTTCTCTAGAGGAGACAATGATGAAGAAGAACCTCCACAACTGAAAGTTGAGCATCAAGGCATTTCAGCCACTGGTCTGCAGAGTCCAGGTAAACGTGTCTGCTGGTCCGCCTGGGAGAACTGACAAGATTTACTGAAGTGATGTTATTAGATGCACAGATACTTTAACTGTTTTGGTTGAGGCAGGTTCTGGCATCAGCTGTTCATTTTAACAAACTTTGCTGATGAGCCTCCGTGCTGTTAGAACAGAACTCTCAGTGTGTGTTTTACGTAACAATCTCTGCAGTTAGTGTGCTTATGTTTTTCAAGGATTTCCTGAATGCTTCATGTTAAAAGTTAAAAGATAATTTCTACTTTTCTATTCCATTGAACAGATAGGGATTTGGGATTAGAGTCTCCCTTAATGTCGTCAAAACCTCAGTCCCATTCACTGGGCACCTCTGGGGACTCAGAGGTGGACGGTCTCTTTGTGGCTGAGAGGCCGTCGGCCAAGGAGCAGCACGCAGGCGGGACTGCGAAGGGAGCTGGAGTGAATTCTCAGATCGCAGCCCCAGACCCACCCCTGCCCGTCTCAGAAGAACGGTGGGCACTGGACGCACTGAGGAACTGTGAGTTCACTGATGAGTTAATACGGATACTTACTAAGTGCCAGGGTTCTGTGATGTGCTGTGCATTTAGGGAGACTCCAAAGAAGTATAAACTGACTTTGTCCTGCAAGAATTTTACAATCTAATTGGGAAGATAATGGAAACTTTGCCCATCTTTTTAAGCAAACAAACAATGCAGGTATGTCAAAAGTGATCTGGTTGGGGTGACCAGGGAAGGGATGCTTCAGAAAACAAGAGATATGGTTAATGCCGTGAAGAAGGGTCAGTTTCTGAAAGGTATTTACAAGAACAGAAGTTATTCAGACAAGAATAATGGTAGGGCCAAAGCACAGAGGAGAAAACTCTGAGGGTATCCCAGGAGCAGTGAGCAGACCAGTTGGCTGCGGTGGACCATGTGGCTGCAGGAGTTGTGTGAGGTGAGGTTGTGGAGGTAGCAGATGTGTGGAGGCCAACTGCTGTGAACTTTGAATGCGAGGTTGAGTCCTCGGAACTTTAGGGGTGATACATCACTGTGCACTGAGGGCTTTTCTTCTAATAGTTTACGAATTATTCTTCTAATACTCCTCTGGAAATTGTAGTGTTGTCCACCAAGGCCCATCCTTCTCACACACAGACTCACACATGCTGTGTGTGCAGGCACACACCACGAGAGTGGACGGCCCTTGCCGCTGTGCTAGCTACCCCTTCCTCTCCAGCCACTGGTAATCGGTTACAAATGGGAGTGCACTACATTTCTCAGGTGTATTTGGAGTTGGGGAAAAGGCCGAAAACAATTGCTCTAGCTGTAGAGATCCATTTGAAGTTTTACTGTTAAGATTAGTGGAAAGGGTTGATTGACAGCTGTGCAGGTCGACGGCAGCGGTTTGGAGAGGCACCGGCAGGTAGACTGCTGCAGCAGCCGGCTCGAAGCTGCAGGTTCAAGCTAGAACAGTGTCGGAGAGGTGAGCAAGAAGAGGGGTCAGCAGATACTTGAAACAGTTGACTGATTTGGATGTGAGGACAAAGGAAATGAAATATTCAGAGGTAATTTTAGTATTTTTATCACAAGTAAAAGTCAGAAAGAACCATCACTGCCCAATGTCACACAAGCCCCCTTTTTTTATTTGCCAGAGATTATGGACTTAATTTTAGAACATATTGCGTCTAAGATAAGGAATGGCAAGCCATCTAAAAGGAGGTGATGAGCAGGAACTTGGAGCTTAAGACTGGAACTTTGGAGACAGGCTGGGGAGAGAGGTGGGTCTGAGTGTCAAAGCCGAGAATTCCGAGCACCTCGAAGTGAATGTAAAGCAGAGGCGGAGGGTCGGAGACTCAGACCGATGTGGAGAAACAGAGCTAGAAAGTAAGCTAGAGTTGAAAGTAGGAAACTAACCTAGTTCTTTGAGGCCTAATTAATTCTGGATTCTCCTGAATTGACATTGATAATGATCTCTTTTTAAAGATTGTTATTACTTTTTAATTACAGTTAACATTCAATGTTATGTTAGTTTCAGGTTTACAGCATAGTGGTTAGGCGTTCACAAACCAATTAATTATAATTTCTGATAGTCTGACTAACCTTGTCCCAATAAATGGCATGAATGACCTTACAGCATGCACTTCCCCATTCAAGGTTAAATTGATTCTGTTTTTAACTACCATAAGTAAGGTCATTTTTAGAAAACTAATAGACATACCAAAGCTTCTGGGTGCAGCAAAAACAGTCATAAGAGGGAAGTTTATATCATTATAGGCCGATCTCAAGGAACAAGAAATCCCAAGTAAACAACCTACAATACATCTTAAAGTACTAGAAAAAGAACAAATACAGAAGAAGAATGGAAGTAATAAAAATTAGAGAAGTGAATAAAATAGAGATCAAAAAGATTATACACAAAAATTAATAAAACAAAGAGCTGGTTATTTGAAAAGATTAATAAAATTGACAAATCCCTGGCTAGACTCACTAAGATGAAAAGACCCATATAAACAAAATCAGAAATGAAAGAAGTCACCACAGGCATCACAGATGGACAGAGGATCCTACTAGAATATTGTGGAGGCCTACATGCCACCAGATTCAATAACCCAGAAGAAATGGGTAAGTTCCTAGAAACATGTACCTGCCTAGACTAAGTCATGAAGAGAACTAGAAAATCTAAATGGACTGATCAACAGGGAGAAAATGGAAACAACCATCAAAAACCTCCCCAAAAATAAAAGTCCAGCACCAGATGGCTTCACCAGTGAATTCTACCAAACGTTCAAAGAAGACTTAAAACCTGTCCTTCTCAAACTCTTCCAAAAAATGGAAGAAGAGGCAGTACTTCCTAACACATTTTATGAGGTCAACATAACCCTGATACCAAAACTTGGCAAGGAGAACATACAAAAAGAGAAAACTGCAGACCAGTGTCTCTGATGAAGACAGGTGCAGAAACCCTAACAAAATACCAGCAACCTGAATACAGCAATACACCAGAAAAATAGTACATCATGATCAAGTGGGGTTCATTCCAGGGTCACAAGGATGGTCCAAAATATGCATATCAATCTGTATAATACACCACATTAACAAAAGAAAGGATGAAATCATATTATGTTAACAATGGACGCAGAAAAAGCACTTGATAAGATACAACATCCATTTATGATAAAAAACACTCAATAAAGTAGGAATAGAATGAAAGTACCTCAGCATAATAAAGACAAACCCGCAGCCAGCATCATGCTCAGTGGGGAAAACTGAAAGCTCTTTCTCTCAGCCCAGGGACAGACAAGGTGCCCACTCTTACCGCTTACTCAGCACAGTCCCGGGAGCCCTGGCAGAGCTGTAAGGTGAGAAAAAGAAAAGTCCTCCAGATCGGGAGGGAGAAGGAGAACTGTCAGTTTGTGTGGATGACATAATTCTGTGTAGAGAAAAACCTAGACTCCACCAAAACACTCCTAGAAACAGTAAATACAGTCAGGTTGCAGAGTACAGAATCAGTGTACAAAGCCTATGGCGTTCCTGTGTACTAACAATGAAACTTCAGAAAAAGAAGTGAAAAAAATGATTTCTTTTTCAATTGCAACCAAACAAATAAAATACCTAGGAATAAATAAAGAACACGAAAGACCATATATTGAAAACTACAAAGCATTATTAAAAGAGATAGAAAAAGACACAACAAAATGGAAAAGTATCCTGTATTCATGGATTGAAAGAATCAACATAGTTAAAATGGCCATATTATTCAAAGCAATATACAGATTTATTGCACTCTCATCAAAATTCAGTGTCATTTAAAAAAAAAAAATAGAACAAAAATAATCAGATTTTTATGAAACCACAAATAGCTCAAGCATTCCTGAGAAAAAAGAATGAAGCTATAAGTATCACACTTCCCTGACTTCAGATTATACTACAGAGCTGTGATGAACCAAACAGCATGGTATTGGCAGAGAAAAGACACATAGATCAGAAGAACAGAATTGAGAGCCCAGATAAAGAACCTCATGTATATAGGCAGATAATTTTTGACAAAGCAGCCAGAAAACCTCTTCAATAAATGGTGTTGGGAAAATTGGAAAGCCACATGAAAAAGAATGAAACAGTTAGTTTGTCCCCATGTACAAAAATTAATTCAGAATGGATCAAAGACCTAAATGTAAGACCCAAAACAATCAGTTACACAGAAGAAAACATAGGTACAGAGGGTTGGATAAAGAAGATGAGGTACATGTACACAATGGAATACGACTCAGCTGTGAGAAAGGATGAAACACTGAGAACATTATACTAAGTGAAGTCAGGCAGGAAAAGCTAAGAACCATGTGATGTCACTCCTGTGGGACATAAAACGGAAACTCATGGACTCGCAGTGTGGTGCTGCCGGGGGGGAGGGGGGCCTAATGTATGGTGACCGAAGACGACTTGATTTGGGTGGTGGGACACAGTGCAATAGACTTGTAACATGGAAACCCACACCTGGAACATACGTGATCCCAGTAACCAACGTCACCCCAATAGACTAATTAATGCAGAAAACTAATAAATGTTTCATTCTTTTTTGAAATTATACACACTACCAAGTAATTAGAACTAAATATTTTTACAAGGATGTTTGTTTTCTTTTTCACCATTTAAGGAAATTCCTTAGGTTATTCTAAAGAATAAAATAAACGTTCTGTGTGACTAATAAAATTGGAAAAAAGGATGCCTCTGCATACAGTGTCTGCTTCAGGAAACTAGAACGTTCAGGTTCTTGTCCAGCTGAACACAGCTTCTCAGCATCTGCATAAGAAGTGCAGTTTCATGGGAGAGAGACTGGAGCGAGACGTGACTGTCACGCAGCGGTTCTGAGGAGGAACCCCCGTGACAGCGTGCAGATCTCGTCCAGTGAGGTTTAATGTTTAGTCGCCCATAGGTCGCGCTTCATTTCATTTTTCAAACAAAACAAAATATAATCGCACTTACCATTTTGATGGTATGTTCAGAAATGATGATACAGCACGGGTTTGACGCTGGCAGTGTGAGGCCACGGCTGTGACGGTGTCTCCTTCCTTCCAGTGGGTCTGCTGAAGCAGCTGCTGGTGCAGAAGCTGAGTCTGGCTGAGCGGGGCGCTCGGGAAGACTGGCCCCACTGCTCCCGGCACCGGGCAGCCTCCCTGGGGGCGCAGGCCGGCCGCGGCGCCCAGAGCTGGGAAGGTGTGAGGGCCCCTCCTCCTGCCGGAAGACAGGTGCCCTGTGGGACTGGAACCGGTGTCGATCTGACTTGCCACAGTCCACGGACTTCCACTGAATCCCAGGCTCCGCGGGACTCCGTGGTCCTGGCGTGGCAGGATGGCCCCGCGAGTGACGTTTTAGTCACGGACCGTGTGCCCGCGGCCCCGGAAGCCCCTCCTGCAGACCCCGAAGGTGGTCTCGACGAGGGAGGCGAGCGCTTTTTCGATGCCCGTGAAGCGCACAGTGACGGGCACCCGTCCGAGAGCGAGGGGGCCGCTGAGGAGGAGGAGAAGGGCGTCCGCTCACACGTCTCAGGCAAGCTCACGTGTGCACGTGGATCTCGATTGCTGTGAACCGTCCTGTGTGTTGAGATGGATGTCGTCTGGGTTTGCAGGCATTGGGGGCGGGGTATTTGTTCTGAGTTGTGATGGACAGTTATGAAGTCTGCTCTAGGTGCTGGGAGGTACAGCAAGTGCTAGTAGGGGAAAGAGTGATGATAAGTAAACAAACAAACATGTCAGATACAAGTATTTGCAGGAAAAATAAGTCAGACTAAGGGGCAGCGGAGGGTAATGGGCGTAGACGGTAGCCAGCGGAGACAGCCCCTGCTGCGGTAGCATTTGAGCAGCGGGCTGAGGGAGGCTGGGGCCCGGAGCACTGGGTGGGGGCAGCGGCGCAGGAGGCAGAGGGGCATCTGTCCAGGGAAGTGTTGGCTGGGCACACGGGGACTCTGTGGTTTTCAGCTTCACAGATACTCAGGGACATAGAATTATTTAGGGAGCACCATGAAAGTTTGCAGAGTTTACTAGAACCTGAAGTGAGGGAAATCTGATGCACTTTGAACTTGGGAATCTGGAAATTGATGGCGTTCACCCTCTCCAGCCGTCTGCAAAGTTGTCAGCGTGTCGCCCTCTCTGCCCCCGAGTCTGACAGCACCACGGGTCTCAGCTCTGTCCTGTCTCCCTCGCCAGGAAACTATCTGATCCTCGAGGACTACGGAGCCCTGCAGGAGAGCTCGACCGACGAGGAGGCAGCCTGCACGCTCCCCCAGCCCGCGACAGGCCTCCCCGCCGCGGACTGCGCCCCACAGCGGCAGGAGGGGGCGTTGTCACCATTCACCCCGGACTCCCTGGTTCGGCAGCCCTGGGGCGCTGTGGACCCCTGTTCTGAGACCCTGAGTTCCCCCGCTGGTACAGACGCACAGCGTGTGATCGAGGTGTGCATCCGCAGGATCGAGGCCGACCTGGAGCACTTACAGGTACTGCAGACCCAGGGTCCCGGGGCTGTGCAGAGGGACTGGGGGCCGGGGTCAATGACCTTGGCGAGATTGTGAGTTTCTTTGACCATTAGCCACGGAAAGGCCTGGATGAAAGGCCTCGACCAGCACTGTCTGGTTACAAATCACAAGAACAGAAAGTCGGCACTGTGAACTGTGTGGGCTGCTAGATCCAGAAACCCAGAGAGACGCTGTTCTGGCCACAGCAAGAAGCTGTGAGTGAGGAGCTGAGACACATGGCGTCTGTGGTCACGTCCTGGCGGGAGGTGTTCAGTGTCCGGTGACCTTGCTAGTGTCCCAGATGCGATGAAAGTAGAAGCTGCCCTTGTGCCCCCACAATCTAAGCGCCTGGCATGAGGGTCTTGTGAATGTGTCGTTGAAGATGCACCAGCCCCTTCCACACTGACTGGCCGGTGACTTCTGAGGAGGGGCCCTGACCGCAAAGTCAGCCGTCGGGAGACACGGCTGCTCTCGCTGCGCCTGTGGAGGCTTTGCGGACGGTGCAGAGATGTTTTTCGCCTTCAGCTAAACTTTAGCTGCTGAAGGCTGGTATCTGTCCCTTTTTCTTTTGACTGTAAATGGTGGGTGTCCCCCTCCCCTGTGAGCGTGTGGTGTCGTCCTGGGGCGACGAGAGGAAGCACCTGAAGAGCCATCGTGCCAGGTGGTTCTACGTCCCAGACACGTGGCCATGTCCACGGTGACTCCTGGGGCCGCCACCTTTGCCAGGCTCTCCCCTCGACTTTCTTTTCACATGAGAAGGTTTTAAGTTACTCATTTAAGGCGGAAATAGGTGAAAGGAATGAAATTAACTTGTTTTCTCCGCTGACAAAATTTTAATTATGTCTTTGTTGAAATTCTGAAACATACCTATACTATTAAAAAAAATTTTTCTTGTTTTCAAAAATAATTTCTTATGATGTTCAGATGAAACACCTGTGGGTTGTCTTGCAGAAGGTGGAGGAGAGCTACACCGCGCTGTGCCGCAGGCTGGCGGGGTCCGCCCCCTCCGGCAGACACTCAGGTACGGGCATCGCCGAGCGCAGACCTGGAGTCACCCCACCTGAGCAGTTACGTTGGATGACATGACTCTTATTCTTTAAAGTAGAAACCTTACGAGGTTTATGTTTTGTCTTTAAAAACTGTTGTTTCCAAACATCAGAAGTCAAGCAGGGGCTCTTTGTGCTGCCGGCCCCTGCAGGCCTTGCTGCCGAGCAGGAGGCGGGGTCCCCGGGCGCCTGCGATGGGTCAGGGCCGCCGCGTGTCCCGGGTGGCGCGTGGGCTCTGCTCCCGTGTCCTCCACGCACAGGCGTCTGCCCTCTGCTCTCGGAGGAGGCTGTTCCAACCCAGAAACAGGACACGAGCATTCTCTCAGGTGGGTTTGCTCTTCGTTCGTAATTTGACCCCTGCATGTCTTTGTTCTTCCCAGAGAACAGTTAGAGCTGAATGTCCTGGAGGTTGTTGAATTGGGAGCGTCAGCCCTGGATCAGCGCATCGTGGCCCTGCGTGGACGAAGAGGGACCAGGCCCGCGCTCGGCTCCACGTGCCGGCCAGCGGGCGAGCGCTGCAGTCTGGCCGCTGCTCGTCGGGGAGGGTCTCCCTCCCGCACTCCACTCTCACGCCCAGAAATTCACTTCGATTCTGAACAAACCAAATGTGTAGAGCTTTGGGTGTAGGACATGAAATTCTATGTAGACTTAAGAAAATGAGAAAATCAGATGTATTTATTTGACTTCATTCCATATTTGAAAGCACACTTTAATTTTTATTTTGCTGTGTTTTGTTTTAATTGCGTGCTGATAATTTTGGTCCTTGTATTTAGCACACCTAAGCGTCAGTTACTCCTGAAGGAGGGAGCTCAGGACGGATGTTAGGAGGCCGGGTGGGGGCCGAGAACTGAGGAGGGAGGGAGGAGCGTCCAGCCTTCAGCTGTGCCCGGGCCCCTGCCGTCCTGCGGGCTGCCTCTCGCCTCCAGGCGCCCTCAGCCTGAGCTCCTGTGTGCCAAGGACCCGGGGCCGAGCTGTGTGCCGCCCGAGGGTCCTCCCAGTGGGGTCCCACGGGGACCAACCCCAAGTCACAAGAATCCTCAGTGCACTAAACTGCAGGCACTTGAATGGGTGTGTTTCTTCCTGTTTTCTGTTGAGGGTGGGACTTGAGAGGGAGAAGAAAGTAAATGTTATTTTCTGGACTATAAATTTGTTTTTTGTAAGTGTACATTAGGCTTCAGGATGGTGTGGATTATTCCTGCAGTTTGACAGGAAGTGAAAAAACAAACAACACATGAAGATGCTCCAGGCGGCGGCAGGGCGGGCGGCCCCGGAAGGGTGGGGCGGGGCCCGGAACAGTCTGCATCACTACTGAGGTGAACAATGGCTGTCAGTAGCCACAGGTACTGCTGATTCTATGGCCAGTACATTCAGTGCCTGGGGTGTGACTGAAGTCGCACTGACAGTGCCAAAGGAGACCAGGAGTGGAGGGCGAGCGGGGGAGGAGGCAGACGCTCCCCTGCCCTCGCTGCTGGGCCTCGACCTGGGCCGTGCAGTCCGGGACGCGGGCTGCAGGTGTGGCCTGGCTGACCCGTCCGGCAGCACCCGCAGTGTCTCCGATGCAGGTCTCAGAGTCGTGACTCGAGAGCTCCTTCCTTGTACTGGTGTCTGCGAGTTTCTCTGCATCAGGTATAGATGTTTTGGAGTAGTTTTGCCAATTAAGACTAAATCATTTGTCAAATCTTAAGATTCTGTTAACATGCAAGGAGGTGATCCACTGCTCTGACCTCTCAGCACAGCCCTCCGAGCTCTGAGCAGCCGCGGCGTGTCGGCACCTTCCCTGCCGTCCGCATATATACACAGCTCGTCACACGTGGAGACTCCCAGTTACTTTATAAACACCACTGCAACTCACAGCACGCTTGTCTGTGTCCAGGTTCCTGTGCCTGTCTTTTCAAAACTGATGTGTTTTTAAGTAGGCTGACCAACTTGGATCGTTGGACCCGCATTTATAAATTAGAATTATATTTTGGGTTGTAGACCAAGTGTAAATTAAATCAGAGTGGGATTTAAAATTTTAGAAGCAGAAGCTAATATATAAGTGGAACTTGAACTTTCTGATCTCTTGAGAAGCAGCAGAAGCTGAAGGGTGATCTGTGCTGCCGGGAGCAGTGCGGCCGCTCGCTGGGGGTCTCGCCCGTGGCCGCCTGGCAGCCGTACTCTGGGCAGTCAGTCAGGAGAAAGGTGAGTGCACAGAACTTCAGACCTTGCAGGCCAGTCACTTAGTGCCGTAGCTTCATTAGGAAGCCTTGTGGGTCAGCAGTTGGCTTCTCTTCCGGCTTAGCCAGCATCTTCTCTGCAGCAGCCGTCTGCGCCTGTCGTCCGCAGTTCGGCCTTTCCTGGGAGCAAACAGGCTGGGAGAGTCCCAGGACCACAGCTCTAGCACTTCCAAGTACATCTTATCTGGGTTTTCAAACAAAGTCCCAAAATGAAGTCTAACTTCGAAAAGCCCCCACAGTGTCGAGTGTTCTTTGTATCTCACCAGCTGAACGTCCCTCCTTTGTGGCCGCCGCCTGCAGCGTCCGTTACGTACTCAGGCCATTGTGGTCACATCCACTTCTCGTGGATACTGTGTCTGCCATTCAGGGTGGTGGACTTCGTCCTGCCCCTGAGGGGAGACGGCCGCCAGCTCAGTTTTTCCCCAAGTCCCAGGCCTGGGAGCTGGAAGCTGCGTCCGCCCAGGAACCACGGGGTGGGCGGCGGCACTGCCCGTGCTCCTTCCTGAGGGCCTAAGAACAGAACAGAGTTAATGGAGGCAAGTCAGTCAGCCCTCAGCTGCCCCACCGAAAGCAGTGGTCCCTGCCCGGGGGCTCAGCGCGCACCTCAGGTCCTCTCAGGACTGCGGAGACCCTGGCTTTCCCGCCTGAGCTGTGGCTGTTTGTCACACTGCGCCGGGAGCATGTCATGAGCTGTTTGTTCTTCATGCAGCTCCCCTCCCGTGTAGTGTGATGCATTGTTACAGTTGAAGCACAGGGGAAGTTTTTATTTGATTGTGGAGGAGAAAAGTCTGTTTTTCTTGTTTTTAGAAGCTAAAGAAAATAATATGCTTTCCAGGTTGTCTTTAATTTGTATCTGTTTGGGGGTTTGTTTTCATGTTGGTAAACTTGGTGCGTCACACGGAGCTTCTGCATGTCAGGCGGGGTCTGTTCTCCAAGGCGCTGCGTGTACACTGTTGCTGGAACTACTGGAGCTGTGGTCAGCACGTCTTCCCTGCTGGCACCACTGGGGCCGAGCACAGAGGCCTCAGAGTGGACAGCAGGACCTCAGTCAGCTCTGCGGCTCTTTCCTCCTCATGTCACAACTTTTGTTTTGTAAATCGTGTTTTTTCCTAATTTTTCTACCCTTTTTCAAAATGACCTGAGAAATTGTTCTTTCCTCAAGAAAAGAGTTCCTTTGCTTCTTTCCTTATGCCTTCCCCACTGGCGCCGATGGCTGTGGTGACAAGCTGGTAGGGACTGTGCCTCCTGGAAGGAAGCCCAGGAACCAACACCTCAGCAGGTGCAGAAACGCCGTTGGGCCTCCAGGGTGCGCTCCTGCCGGCACGTCCCCTTGCTCGCCACACAATCTGTACTGTTCGCCGGAAATCTCTTTTCAGAAATCTGGAACTGTCATCAAAAAACTTTATTAATAATCATGTATTTTTACTCATATTTTGAAATACGTAAAAGACTTTATTGTTCTAATTATCCAGATGTACCTTTGTAAAATAGCTCTTTTATGAATTAGCTGGTAAGGTTGTATGTTTCTGGAACAAAATACTGGTCATCTAAAAACTTTCTCTTTTCTGGGGCCTGGGAAAATAGAAAACGAGAGTTCAGATATTAAATATGCTTAAAGGAACCCAGTATGTGACTTTTTATTTGCATCCTTGTTCATTTGTCGTACGCACATCTGCGCAAACTTTAGGTGTGAGGGAGGCCTTGGTCACTCTTAGTGGCAGTGACGGGTGGACACCTCCCCCCCACTGAGGACTTTACCGGTGAGACATCAGCCCCCACGGGGACTCGAGCCCCTGGGGCTGCGCTGCTGAGGCAGCTTTACTGAGAATTCACGGGTCAGACAGCTCATGGTTTTAAGGTGTACAGTTCAGTGACTTGGATACATATTACATCATTTTTAATTGTAAAATACATTTAATATAAAATGTTTCCTTTTAATTCTTTCTTTTTTTTTTTTTTTTTATCCTCACCCAAGGATATTTTTCCATTTTTTGTACAGATAGAGTGGGAGGGAGAGAGAGAAACATCGACGTGAAGGGACACATCGAGTGGCTGCCACCCGCACGACCAACCAGGGCCGGGGACAAACTGCAACCGAGGTACGTGCCCCTAGTGGGAACCGAACCCGGGTCTCTCCGGACCGCAGGCCGACGCTCTAACCGCTGAGCCAAACCGGCCAGGGCTCCTTTTAATTCTTAAGTGTACAATTCAGTGGGATTAATAGGGCAGTTTTTATGGCTCATAGGAGGGTAACTTCTGTTTAGTGCTGCCCAAAGGAAAACATGAATCGTCTTTATTATGATTCTTACCCCAGAGCTGGGTCCCTAAAGTAGTAACATTTCTATGTTGATGTGGATTTCATTTCAACACATGACACTGAATTTGGGGCCTTTTTGTTTGCTGGTTTTGATGTAGAGGGGTAATTAGTTATTCTTGGGATATTTTAGTTTGCAGTCGGGCACATTTGGCTGATAGATCTAATAAGCATAATAAAAAATGCTTTGTATTGTGTGAGATCTTTTAGTTTAACCTTTTAAAAAGTAAGGATTATTTGGATGTTCTCTGCAGAATTAACCTGTTGGCACTCTCAGCTGTGTGTGAACAGCTGGCGGAACAGATGCGCTCATGTCCTCTCTGCTTGTTCCCGGGTGGCCACGTCCCGCCCGATGGAGAAAGGAGTGGAGTCCGTCTCTCCCGTGGGCGGTTACTTCCACTTCCCTTTCACGCCAAATGACCGGTTCACCAAAGGTCAATACTGGCTTGAAAGATGAGAGGCCCATCCTGATGAAGTTGCTTTTTACTTGAATTTGATGTCTTCCTATCACGATGAATATCATAGACTGTTCCACATTGTGTCTGCAGTGTCAAGTACAATTTTTTTTTTTATCCTCACCTGAGGACATTTTTCCATTTTTTGTTCAGATAGAGTGGAAGGGAGAGAGAGAGAGAGAGAAACATCAACGTGAAAGAAACACATTGAGTGGCTGCCACCTGTACAACCCAATCAGGGCCGGGGACAAACTGCAACCCAGGTACATGCCCTTAGCGGGAACCGAACCCGGGTCTCTCTGGACCGCAGGCCAGGGCTGCAGTGTCAAGTACAATTCTTGCTACTAACTGAACACGCTCGACTAGCTGTCAGGGTTTGTCCTGCCTCCTGTCATCACTTGTGAGAAGTTGTCATTCCCTGTCGCCAGTTGAGGCCTGGGTTTGGAGCTGTGTAAGTGGGTGGAGCGCCCTTCCTATACCGGTCTTTTCTTCTGA